AATCGAATCTAATCTAGTCGTATCCAATCTAATCTAAATTAAACGAGTCTAATATAATCTAATCTAACTTAGTCTTGTCGAATCGAAAATAAAATTATCTAATCTCATCTTCTCTAATCTAATCTATTTTAAATTAAAGCTAGCTTCTCTTCTAATTTGTGGCGTGCTTTTCAATGTTGTCGCACAAATGGAGGAGCCTAAACCTTTACGTCGCTTCCGAACTCATTCCTTTCGAAAAAACTTTTCTGTATTCATTTATACTAGTATCGCCCAGTTGTCGAAATTCGACATCTTTTTTCATACACTTTTGAATTTTACCTGTCACCAATTCTAAATCCTTTATGCGAAGTCCACCAGCATAATTTATAGCGAATTTACAGGAAAACTTAAAATCGAATTATGAACGTTAATACCGGATTGATTAATGCTAATTCTACCAAGTCTCCTCCTCAGTAGCTTTTGAAAATAGACCGAAAAAGGAACCTCGATCTTCATTTATAAAAAATATGCATATGCAATTGTATGTAGATGAGAGGTTCATCACTGACTAATATGTCAAACAATTGAGACTGTAAATAAGTCCGTAAGTACGGTATTGACAACATATGTTGCTGCGTCAAATTTCAGGACGTTAGAATAAGCGGTTACAGAGATGACCGATAAGAGAATTTCAGTTTGAATGGGCGGTGCCACGCCCTCCTTTCCAAAATCTACCACTATTTGCCGTAAGTACCGTACTGACAACGTATGTTGCTGTGTCAAATTTCCGGACGTTAGCATAGGCGGCTACAGAGATGACCGATAAGAGAATTTCAGTTTGTATGGGCGGTGCCACGCCCCCCACCACCACTTTTCGCCGTAAGCACGATATTGACAACATATGTTTCTGTGTCAAATTTCAGGACGTCCGCATAAGCGGTTCAAGAGATAAGCGATAAGAGAATTTCAGTTTGTATAGGAAGTGTCACGCCCACTTTCCCAGTACCTGCCATTTTTCACCATAAGTAGGGTATTTACAAACTATACATCTGCGCTAAGTTTCAGTTCCCCAGCACAATTCGTTTTAGAGATATAGTGGTGTATATTTCATTGAAATCGAGCGAATGGTGCCTTCAAAAAAGGCAAACTTTTCTTGTGGCGTATTTATATATAGATATATATTTAAAGTCTTTGAGTTAAGTTTTTTTTTGTTGTTTTTCTATATAAATATTGTGCAAGCATTAATCAAAACCATATAAATCACAATTCCAAACTTAATATAAAATTTAAGAAAATTCAACAAATTTTCAGCACAATTTCAACTTTTAAATCGGAATCTTTAGAAAATTTTTGGGTATGCAGTTTTATAGCCCACACAATTTTAGTCTCATTAAGTGCAAGTTTCAAACAAGAAATAGTCAAGGGTGGTTAGCTCTGGTTCAGATGAAAACTTACCTGTAACTAACTACTTTTGGACAAAAAATATCAATAAGAAAAACATTGTTCTTTTAATTTGTTACTTGTTTATTTATTTGCTTTACTATTTTACATATACTGCTATAATCGGCCCCATATTCGAATACCGTCCGACATAACTTCAAAAAATTTCAATCTTCACTTTATTTGTCCGGAATTCGAAAAAGTGTTTGTGAATTGCAGAAAAAAGTGTATTGAAAGTAGAATTTGTATAAGGATAGTTAAATAGAAAGTTATTTTTAGAAACGAGTTTCCCGATTACGTCTGCACGACTCCTGCATTACTTCTCAACTAGTTTGAAGTTAGCTTTTTGTAGTTAACTTCAAGTTATATATTTTATAGAAATCCCGCAAAAAAGCTAACTACAAACAAGTGGGTTATTTTTTATCAACTAATAATTTTTTTCTGCAAGGACATTCCAATGTTATATACACACAAAGCTTAAGAAAATTCCAAGTAAATACATGTGCAGACAAGCAGCCATATCCGGTTGACAAGTGTATACAAATACGAGTAATATTTTACACTTAAGAAGTTTGCATATGTAATATTTATGAGGATGAGTTGATTTCTTCCTCAAATTTCCTCAAATATATTTGTATACAAAGGTAAAAGTATGTATATATGTATATTAAAAGCTATTCCAAAATAACACATGGCTTAGTTAGACGTCAAACAAAATATGTATGGAGAATAAAATCTTAATGAAAACGAAAACTTATGTACATAAATATTTAAATGTAAGATTTGTCGCTACGGAAATGGCAAGTTGGCCTCTAAATGTTCAACCCACACGCAAAAGTAAGCCATTCAACAAATTTTAACATATTCTTGTATAAAAATATATTCATATGTAAATACATATACGTGTGTGTATGTATGTGTCCAAAATTTAAATATACACATACATACATATAGTTAGTGTGTATATGGGAATGTAGTGTAATTTATATTCACGACATGTTAACACATTAGGCGGACAAGTTTATGCTACTAGTGTAGTTCTTTGTGCTAAATATTATTGTTATGTAAGAGGAAAGAGCACGCAAAAACATGTGTACTAATTTGTATTATCAATGAAAACGCCTTGTTCCTACCAAGTTCTAGATGCCATAAAGGGGTAAGTGAATGTTATAGTTATGTAGCAGTTATTTACTAACAAATATTTCATTGTCTTTAATCTACGACACGGATATCATAGAATTTTGTTTTCCCACACATTTCATGACTTAAATTGTTAAACCATTTAATTGACTAAATGTGATTTAAAACGTGAGAGAATCATTGTGGCGTGCAGAATACACTTAGGACCGTTTTCACCATCTCTGGTTAACACTAATCTCCAGTCAAACATCGTTACCGACTGTACTGACTACATGCATATAACGTAATGTCGATAACGTCGGTAACGGAGTTTAACAGGAGATTAGTATTAACCAGAGATGGTGAAAACGGCCCTTAGAGGTAATTCTTTTGTGAATGCGTATAATATTGAGTTTGAGCTATTTTTTTTTTACAGCGCTTTGTTGGCAATATTCTTTGAGTCCATTGCACTGTATACGCAAACAAATGCGTAATAAAATTCTCTCCTACCGCTTCAACAAGTTCACTGCAACTTCTTCAGCATGTGCTCACACTACTACGATGCTAGTTGGCCAGGATATTCTCGCCAATATGCACGGTTCTTTTTTAAATTTCACTCATATTAAGATTATGTGTGCGCTAAATATTTTCCAAATCGACGATGAACTGTTTTATCTGCGGTTAGTAAGTTAGCTAAATAGTTGATTTAATGTAACAGAACAGAGGACACTGTGACCTAGAATATCTTTTGTATGTCTATGATAAGATTTTAACCCTAACAGGCATAGATACGATCCGCTATTTTAATCAATTCTAATAAATGGTATCTTGCTAGAGTTGAACTTCTACTAATAAGGGGTTGGAACGGGTATGGATTAAAGTGTTTCTACTTACAGAATGTGGTGCAATGCCTCTTTGTATTCATGACAAAGACAGCATTCGCCTCGTTTATGGTCCGAGTGTGGAAGGGGAGGAAACAATTTGATGGCGTTAAAGACACCCTAGGGTTCCTCGAGCGCATTGAGCGGCTAGCTGGTGCCGAGAGGCATCGAAAAAAGCGGTTTGACGCTCTGAAGCAGACATCGGTGAGCCGCAGTGGTGCGGCGGCATGGCGCCCAGGAACAACGACCCCGGGACAACGCATGATTAATCCAAGAACCTACCAAGCGGAGAGAAACGGGTAGGTTCTTCTCCCGTACTCTAAGCACGAACGAGAGAGGCGAGTGCTTTAAGTGAAACCTCAACGAATTCGGTATCAGCTATAACTTTGAAGCAATGAAGCGCCTTGTCTAACTATGATCCAGCATAAACATCATCAACAACGTCAGCCTGGAGATCAAGCGAAGGATATCTATTGACAACAGCTGCTACTTTGGGATTTGTAGGTAATTAAAAAGCAGGGACCTCTCTCGACAAACAAAAATCACGCTCAACAAGACTCTCATCATGCCCGTTCTTCTATGTGGCGAAGAAACTTGGACGATGTCGAACAAAGATGAGACGGCTTTGGGTGCTTTCCAGACAACTATTCTACGCAAAATCTACGGCCCTGTCTGCGTAGACGGGTATCCGGGAAGATGAAATGACGAACTGTATGAGCTTTTTAACGACATGGATATAGTTAAGTGCATGCTGTACACATAACGCGAACCGACAAATGGTTGTAGCGCCAAATACGAAGAAGGGGCAGTAGTTCTAGAAAACTTTCAAGAACCTTAAGAAAGAGGACAGTTAAATTTTCCCGAGAGCCTGATTTAGGCGCAGATAATACAGACAAGATTTGGCCCTTACTTCCAGAAAAACATTTTCTCCAAACATTTACTCCCACAAAATGCTTTAAAGCAACTATAAAATGCCACAAAAAAATTCAATCAAGCTTAAAGTTTTAAACCAGATTTAATTTTGTTTATCACTGCTTTTAAAACAAAATAAAAGTAGCCTAGAAGAGAAAAACGAACTTCGATAATTTACAATTAACTCGCAAAAAAGTCGTTCGAAATCACAACTTTTTTCCAACTATTCGTTCGTGAAAGTAAATCGGTAAAACTTTGTATATCAGCAATTTAGTGGAATTTTTTTATATAAATTTTTGGTACGGACGTTAAAAAAAGCTGTTTCAAACGCACCCATAAAAGAACCCTTCGACTTTTTCGTAAATCCTATTTCAAAATCTAAATTCTTAAAACTTCGAAATTGCCCTTAAATCAATCTCCTTTAAAAAGTAAAAAAGTGCAAATATTACAACAATTTAGTGGACATTTTTTCCGTACACAATTCATCATACAGATTTTAAAAGAAGCTGATTCAAACCCAATCACAAAAGAATTTTTGGACTTCTTCGTAAATTCTATTTAAAAATCCGACGACTAAATATTACATAACAATTTTTTAAATTTCAAAATTTAACTTAAATTACTTCTCCCATAGGAAATAAAAGCAACTAATAAATTTCGAACACTCACCTGCATTCCTGTCGATCGCAAATGCTCATTCACCCAATTGCGAAAGGTGTTCGCCTGTATTTCCACCCACAAGTCCTCATTGCCGCGTATGTTCATGCCCTTGGCGGCTGTTCCTTCGGGACTGCGCGCCACCAGGCCGGCGTGTGTGATCTTTTGCGTTTCGGTGCTGCCGTCAGCATTGTGCTTCAGCAGACCGGCGTGCGTCACTTTGGCACCTTTAATATCTTTCACATCCATCCTGCACGAGGATGACTTCACTGCACAACACTACGCTCGTATATTTTTTTAATTCCTGTACTTTTTTATGTTTTCAAGCACTTAACTTTTTGAACGAATAGTATGTAAATATTTAAATATCCGCTTGGCACTATTTGCGTTTTGTTTTCATAGTGAACTTCGCAAACTTACGAGTTGGGCAAATGCATACACTTTAACACACACACCTACACTCAAAAAGGGAGTGCAGTGTTCTTTTTTGCTTTGCTAATATGGCGGACTTAGTTGCAAATCACCTGCTGTGCACTCACAAATTTTCTTGGTTTTTGAGTTCTTATTTTTGGATATTCGCATTCGTAGGCGCTGAAATTGTAGAAAAAAAATTTAAATTAACACTTGTAGAACACTTTATTAGCATATTTGAAACTTTTGCTTTTAAAATTTTTATTTATGTAACAACTATTAATTTTTTTTTCTTCTTCTTCCTAAAAAATTCCACACGCTTACGCTTCGATTTTTTCGTGTGCGCGCTCAGCCACTGCTGCGCTCAGACTGAAACGCGTTTTTAGCCAAGTGCGCTAATTTAGTTTGGCAAATGCTCTAAAATAAAAAATTAATCTGTTCAAAAACTCTCCGCTTAATTCAACTCAGCCGAACACTCCACCACTACTACCGCCTTTACCAGCAGCATAAATACGCTGTCAGGCTGCTCATTTCGTAGCGCTGCTTAGCTTAAACCTACGTACGAGTTTCAACCTTTCAAGTCAACCTACTCACTTTTTGTACATAAATACTTCAAGCACAACAACAAATGAGACAACCCGTTTGCTTTTACACCTTCTAGACTTGGCTTCAAAAACCTGCCTCAGAACGTCAACAAACCGCAAAAAACGATGACGTCATGCTGGCTTTTCGAAAATGAAAATGAACAATGTGATCCACTCGAATTGGACACTCACCAAACGCGACGCGCAGTCGCATACTCGCACATTTGTGCTCTCCCACAGCATGCTCACTCACCTGACTCGACTGTTGTAGTAGCTGTTAGCCAAATATAAAGTGGCTTAGTTAACGCTCTAACCGGCGTCGGCTTGAAGTGCGTCTCAGTGGGGGTAGCTATTTTTTGGTGAGACTTGATAAACTTGTTTTTGGCTTACACAAAAAAAAACAGCCGCTTGTTTGATTGCAAAGTTGCTGCCGATTTGCTAATGCTGCTGCTCCAGTCAAAAGTTGAAAGAGAATTCGAATACATATACGACTTAATGCGAAATCATTAATCAAAATCCACAACTGGCTAAAAAAAAGTCACCGAAAAAGCAGTAGTGTGAAGAATTGAGAAAATGAGTTGTGAAGAGTAAAATTTAAAGCTAATCAATGTGGAGGTGATTACACTGAGAGAAATTTTGTTTTTGAAACAAGCTCCGGATGATTTGCTGGTGGTTGGGCATATTTATTGAATGAATTACGGAGATAAATAACGGTAACATTACTGATTTATTTATCGATATAGTTTTTCAGTTTGAACTCACTTCACTAGCACAAAAAATTCAGTTTAAATTCAAAACATTTATTAATGTTGTTTTTCTTTTTAAGCAGAGACAATGTGTTTGGTTTGGTTAGGAAAATGATTTTGGTTTTTAAAAATTTTGCCTTTGCACGGTGCAAAATGTGTTGGATGTTACACTCAACCCTGTAAAAGAGAATGTTTTTGCTTTCATGTCCTTGTCCAGCTAACGTATTTCATAATATTATCGTTTTAAGCAACCATCTGATTTTGAAGGCAACCATATCCCCTCACAAAGCGTCTAAGGGCAGAAAATAAGCCTTAAGACTGGTTTACACTATGTCATATTTTGACGCCAAAATTTGGCGACATTTTTTGACACAACTTTATCTCCTTTTTCCATACCTGTACCGATGATATTACGGGCCAAAAACTGACAAATAGCCAATTTAGCAGCGCATGTACACGACTAAAGATCTTTCCTGATCAAAATCAATCGATAAACCGCTTTTTAATCCCATTTGACAATGTGTTTTCACTTATTTGACGACTAATGCCACTGAATTTGACATTGTGAAAACCAGCCTTTACAAGAGTGTGACATTTTAAGAAACGAACACAAAATTTTTCACTGTTTGCCCTTATATGAGAATCGAACACGAAAAGGGAGGATCCAATACATATAATTTTTTTTTTCAAGGCTAAAGACATCCTTCCAACCCTGTAAGTCTGCGGTTCTGTACCTAATCATACCAACTATGCTTCAAGGAACGATTTCTACACTAACTCTCTGGCTAACGACAATTTGCAGAGTCAACTCCCTCTTAAGCTATATCTATGCCGAAGCCACGAAAGCAGATAATAGTGGTCTTCATCTCTAAAGCAGGGAAGACTGAGAGATTTTCGACCAATCAGTTACCGGCTTACCATGTAGCGGTAGCTTTAGGAAAGGTGAAAAACATATATTTAATATTTGCGCCGGGTATTTAATGTTCGGCTCCGCCCGAACTTAGGCTTTCTTACTTGTTTTTTTTTAATTATTGTGTACTTGTTCTTTCACTTGGTGTACCGATTTGATCAAACAGCATTTTACATGGTCCACAGCACACGTCAAATGACTATCTAATTTGGTGGAAATCAGAACCACTTTGATTTTGGTAAAACAGCCATCAAACTCATACATGCGACATACCAAATTTTACTAACACATAAACACATTTTGATCAGACAATTTGACCATGGAAGGTTCAATGGGGGATGCAAAGAAAATATATTTTTATGAAAAGTATTGCAGCTATAAGGAGACTGCTATATGATCAGGGGTATTTTCTTAGTCTTGCAAAGCCCTTGCACGGTGCACGGATTGCACGGTTTGCAAAGCTATCCCATACGAAAACCGGTTTTTACCGTGCAATGTGTGCACCGTGCAAGGGTTTGCAAGACTCAGAGAATACCCCTATTGCTTCATGGCTATGCCATCATCTTGTCACGGAGGATATTTATTTATGCGTAAACAACTTTCGAACTCATCAGAAGTTCTGATTTTTATGTCTTGATATAATTCTTATTAAATATTGTTTTAAATTAATCTTTTACAAAAGTTAATTTTTGTTTTATCAAAAATGAGGAAACAGGCTGAAAAAAGAGGGGAAAACATCGCAATAACATCAGGAAATATGTATATAAATTTGGTGTTTTCAATATAACAGTCTTTTCGATAGTTCTCCTACTTCATATGTAAAGTTACTCCTATATGTACAAGTATGTATTTTTAATAAGATTAAAATTGTTTCTACATATTGAGAATGAGTTTTCTGCCAGCATTGTTATTATTGCATAAATTATTTCAATATGTATGTATATAATGCTCAATAATACTCAATGAGAAGTCAGTCACTTCTGAATGAAAATACTGTGAGTACTTATTTCGTTTTTGCCGCCTACTCCTTAGCTAGAGATTCTAGAAATTGCTTTTTATTTAACACCGGCATGCCTGATTGAGAAGCTTTGCTCATCGATACGTGTTGAGATGTCTATCTTAAGTATACAAGTATGCGCATACTTATATATGTACATACATAATACAGTTCTTCATAAACAGTACATTGAGCTTTTAACTTTTTAAATCTCACAAGACAACTCGGAAAAGGCTGTTGGCATGAAATGATGTCACTACTATGGTATTTTGTTTTTGCTTACGATTTTTACTTTACTGTTTTATTATTATGTTTTTTTTTCGTTTGGTTGGCACAAGATAAACATCTTGAAGGGTTAATGTAGAGAAATTTCGTCATATAGACCTTATTTGGGATTTTAAAATTTTTAGCTGTAAAAGCGAACATCTTTTCCATAGAAAGAAATCTCATGACGAATGGCGTCTGGAATGTGGGTGGTGAAGTAAAAAAAAGCCACAAATGCTGCAAAAATTTAAATCTTAAACTGATATTATGACAAGTAAATTATTTTTTGATCAAATATGGACATATTAAGTAAGTATTTATATCCAGATTTTGAATCGGAATAATATGAAAAAAAACAACTTCAACTGAAACAGCTTAACGTCGAATGACGACAACATATTGATAAGTAAATTTTTCCGAGAAAATTATAAAATGGCAGGAGATATAAAAAACAGGGCTATATTATTTCGGTATAGAGAGCGGGGCTCAGAGAATTAAAATTCCGAATTTCCTACATTTGGACCGTCCTAATGTACATACATACATTCCTAAAATTAAGTAAATGTACTTTTGTAGTAGTGAAAAATATTGCACTAGCAAAATAATGAATAAAGCTGTGGACAAACGGGTTCTCCTTAATACCATATATGTAAGTAGATTGGTAAACGGACGGTTAAAGGCTGGCAGACAGAGCAGGTGTAGGTATCTATGGACCTGGCACCAAACTCGCAATTTCCGTAGGCAAGCGATTCTAACCTGCGTCAAATTAAGCCTTGAAAAGGGTTTCTAGGGCGTAGAAAGGCACCTAGCAGTTATACGGGCCCTCAAAAACATAATGATGATCCAAAACTTGTTAAATACGGCTTTAACAGACTTCAAGCTCTGGCGAAAAATACAATAACACTATGCTACCGAGCAACTTTGGCAACGAGATCGCTGATGAGTTGGCGAGAGAAAGAGCCTTAATTACTGAGTGGGTACACTCTGAACGCAGTTAGTACTAGTCAGGCAGGCTAGGCTCTTTGGCTACCCTTTCAATAAATCGTATGTTATTTAACTCATCAGAAATTACCACAGGCTACTCTCCGGGCACTTAACTAGCAAAAACAAACTAAGATCTTATATGCACCGAATAGGTATTATCGAAGAGTCGGACTTCCGGCTTTGCTTTAAGGACGATTAAATTTACAAACACATTTTCTTTTGACCCTATGATCAAAAACTTAGGAATGATGAGTTCGACTACCTAGGTTAGGCACAGTTGTTAGAGGTACAAAAGACCTTTCAGTTCACGATGTTATTATTGCTTTTTTCTACCTATTTACATATGTATAAACGAATAGAAATAGTTTGCAGCACCGAACTCAATATTTTCTAATAAGACTTGAAATATGGCTATCAGCCTTCAATACCATTGCCTGGAGTTCAATTTTGGACAGATAGGCCTCATGCCATACAGCTTTAGATTTCAGTAAGGTGGCAGAATCCACTTCCCGGTCGAATAGAAATTCAAGCGGTGAGACCAAAACTCTAATCTGATCGCTATTGCCATAGTTTTGCGCATCTGAACAGTGTGAATAGGTACATTGACACGTTTTGCGAACTTTTAGCTTTATTCATCAGGGCTTCATAATGCTAAAAAGCATTTCCGTCCTTTCAAATCATTGTAGCGATCTTCT